AAATGAACATAATTTTTCACGTTTCCATTCCCCTTTCTCGGCATTCCATTCTTCATTAATAATTTTCCACATAAAATTTAATGTAACTTCATCATCATGTGAGAGAGAAGCTAAATTGTTGACAATACCAATAAATAATGATATTTGTGTATATGACCATAAATTAATATCAAGATCACCAATAAATGTCACCGATGTTAATTTACTAAGAACAGAAAATGTTATAAATAATAAAAGAATAATACAAAGAAACATATAACCAGCAACAGAAAGTAGTTTTAATAATTTGAAAGTTATTGTATTGTTTTTTTCTTGATGATGTAATTTTATTAAATATTCACTTTGTCGTTCACCTCGACGATGAGCAGTTGAAAATAGAGAAACTATACCATTGATAGAAAGATATCGAACTAAACTAAAAAGATTAAAATGTAAACTTGATAATAATTGATTAAAATAAAATAAACGATGACCAGTTGAAATAGAACAACAATTTGCAGCTCTGATAATACCAAAAAGTAATATTATATTAATTGCTATGAATTCAAAGTAAGTTACACCTTGGATATAAATATGAGAGGAATTATCAGTGATAAAGAAATTCTGATAAATAATAAATACATTATAAATTGGAAGAATTATTGAACAAAGACCACTGAAAATAAGATTGAAATCAAATACTTTTGAATATTTTTGTTCGATTTGAATAGAAATTTCTTTATCATTATAATATTTAAATTCATGAAAATTAAGTTCCGATTCAATATTTTCAGTAGACATTCTCAAACGAACGAATGAAAAGAGAATTAAGAATCATCATTGGCACATATTGCTTCTTTATTTTCTCCTACGACATAGAAAAAGAATAATTTCCTTTGAAAAACATATGTTACTCCCATTATTTTATTAGAACAAAACAAAAACGTTTTCTATTCATCTTTAATTATATTTATTCTCAAAATAGAAAATGATGCACATTATTATTCATTCAGACTTTTCTCTTAACATTTATTAACAGTCAAATAAATAAAATAAAGAATAAACTCATATCAGAGACGAATCGAAGAAATTTCAATATGGAAATAAGGACAATAATTATTAATGTCAAAATGACTTATATTTGATTGTTGATGATACCTAGATATTGTTTAGTTGAATAACCACAATTTTAAATCATGACAGTTTATGTAAAATTCTAGTAAATAGTATCAATTTTGATGAATGTTGACACGTTCTTATGAAATATGAGGAGACTCTTTCTATCACGATTTTGAAATACTAGAAGAAAACATGCAGATATGATTATTTTATTTGTTAAAATTGTCACGTCAAATTTGATTTTCATTAAGAGAAAAATATATATTTTTATTTCTCATTTAATAATCATACTGAAGAATATTTTTCAAAAATGATAATTGACATCATGTTAAAGATATACTTCTACATTCTAATCATTCTTCATGAAATAACAAATGGTGCAGGTAAATTTTAATGATTTGTATCATATCGTGTAAACTGAATAAATGAAATTTATTTTTTGTAAAATAGAAATATTTTCTAATCAACCAAAATTACCTTCTTGTCCCCAATGGAATCCTCATGGAATTACATTTTCAAATGAAACAACAGTTGGAATAGCTCCATTAGATATTTTTATCGATAGAAACAATACTGTCTATGTAACTAATGAATATAATGGTGAAATTCAAATTTGGAATGTGGAAGATCTTATTCCAAAAACAATAAAATTAGATGATTCATTTAAACCTTGGGGACTTTTTGTTACAACTGATGAAAATATCTATGTCGGCAGTGACTCGAAAAAGAATGTAGAAAAATGGATTCTGAATGAAACAAGAGGTAGTTTTGTGATGAGTACATTTGATTCTTGTCCTGGAATGTTTATTGATATTAAAAATAATATTTATTGTTCTTTGGGAGAGAGTCATAAAGTCATAAAACAATCACTTGATAATAATTCAAACATCATATCAGTAGTTGCAGGGAATGGTAGTAAAGGATCTACTAATAATATGTTAAATCGACCTCGTGGAATTTTTGTTACTATTAATTTTGATTTATATGTTGCTGATTGTTGGAATGATAGAATTCAATTATTTAAATTTGGACAATTAAATGGAATAACAGTAACAGAGAGTATTAGTACATCAAGTTTCAAACTTTTAAAACCAACAAGTGTATTCTTAGATTCAGATAATTATATATACATTGTAGATAATGCACATCATCGTATTATTGGATCAAGATCAACTGGATTTTATTGTATAGCTGGATGTACAAATAAACGTGGATCAACATCAACTCATTTGGACTATCCATATACAGCTGTTTTCGATAATTTTGGTAATATCTATGTTACTGATCAAGATAACAATCGAATACAAAAATTTCTTTTAATTACAAATAATTCTAGTAAGTTTATTTAGAGAAAAATCTTCTTTGAAAAAACAAGTTTCATTTATTTATTTTCATAAAATAGATAGTTCACCCATTATTCAATCAACCTATTTCTCAACATTAACTGAAAATAGTCAAGTATTTGTCCCGAGTGAATGTGGAAAATTAAATTATTATTATGAAACAATCGAAGTGGAAGTTATTGAAAATGGTTGTTATAATCTTATTAGTAAAAGTGGAATTGATACGTATAGTTATATTTCTGAAGATTATTTCAAACCAGTTATTCCAACTGAGAATTCATTCTTACATATTGGTCCATTCTATGCTAATAATCAATTCAAACTTGAAACATCTCTACTCATCGATACCAAATATATATTAGTTGTAACAACATTAAATCCAAATAGAACAACAAACTTTTCAGTTATTGCAACTGGACCAAATCAAGTCATTTTCAATCGTATTAGTAAGTAATTTGAATTTATTTGTCTAATGATTATGTGAATATTAAATAGATGTATCATGGAGTATACAAAAAAACTATTCATCCCAACTGCCTATGAATGATCAGGTGTATACACGTAGTGGTTGTCAACTGTTTAATTATTACTATGAAGCTGTAAAAATAAATGTTATTGAAAGTGGTTATTATATCTTTAGTAGTAATAGTATTATGAATACATATGGATTTATTTATGAAAATAATTTTAATGTATTTCAATATAGAAAAAATTCAATATTAGAAGATAATGCCAATGGTTGCAACAATCAATTTAAAATTTCAATTCAACTTCAGGCGAATATTACATATATATTTGTTGTAACAACTTCTTATCCAAATATAACTGGAAATTATTCATTACTTATCTTTGGACCAAACAATATCACTTTCAATCCCATCTGTAAGTTTAGCAGATTTAGTCATTAATGCACAAAAGTTACATGAATCTCTTATTGAAAAAGAAAAATTAGCATATACACTAGACTTAAATTTTCACTTGAACTTTCAGATTAAATCGACATACTCTTTTTTGTTTTGATCTATTTAAAATAAATGATTGATATATTCTGTTATGTTAAGATAATCTTCCACAAGTTTTTCAAAGTCGATACTCATCAACATTGACTCCAACTAGTCGAAAATATGCCCGAGAAAAATGTCGATTAGCGAATTATTATTATGAAGAGATCGAAATGAATGTGATAACGTCTGGTTCATATACTATTACAAGCCATAGTAATATTAACATAATTGGATATCTCTATAAAGATCGTTTTAATCCATGGAATATACTTGAAAATTTAATCAGTCAAAATGATGAAGGTTGTGATAATAATCAATTTCAAATTATTGTTGATCTTAATGCTAATTCAACATATGTATTAGTAGTAACAACATATTCTTCAAATATAACAGGAAAATTCCTTATCTCTGCATCTGGTCCAAACAAGATCAATTTCAATCTCATTGGTATGTCAGTATTTATATTTTAATAATCAGAGTTAATATATATGTTGTCATATAGATGTTCAATTAGTTTATAGATCAATATTAACAAAAGATACTGAAACATATTCCCGAGTTTGTGGTCGAACAGGATATTATTATGAAACAATAGAAATGAATGTCTCGAATTCTCATATGTATAGATTTGATAGTAATAGTAGTATTATTCTATATGGTTATATTTATGAAAATAATTTTAATCGATTTAATCCAACTTTAAATTTAATAACACAAAGTAATTATAGTTGTGGTGGATATCAATTTGAATTAACAGCTTATCTTCATTTTAATATAACATATATATTAGTTCTAACAACATTTCATTCAAATATTCAAGGATCATTTCAATTAATTATTTATGGATCAAATAATATTACTCTTAATCGTACTAGTAAGGAAATATTTCTATATTTATGAATAAAATTTCAATAAATAATTTAATTTTAGTTTCTAATCATGTTGATTGTATTATTGGAGATCGATGTAATTCTTATACAAAAGGTATTGGTTTAACTTTAGATGATATTTTACGTAATGAAATTCGACGTAATAGAACAATAAATAATCAATCATTTTTAATAAAAATGAGTGTTGCTTTGACAACAATTATATTTGTTGGAGGTTTAATAAATAGTATTCTTTCTTTAATAACTTTTCAAAATTTCGAATTACGAAAAGTTGGTTGTGGAATTTATCTTTTATCATCATCAATAACTTCTCTTCTTACAATATCAATGTTAACAATGAAATTTTGGTTTGTTATTTTAACACAAATAAATTTCTCATCAGTTAATAAATTAATTCTTGAGATTGGTTGTATATCTATTGAACCAATTCTTAAACTTGCCGTATATATTGATACATGGTTAAATGCTTGTGTAGCTGTTGAACGAGCTGTTCATGTATCTCAAGGAGTTAAATTTAATAAAAATCAAAGTAGACGTATTGCTCGACGAATAAATTTCATCTTACCATTATTTGTTTTGATTACAATTATTCATGAACCTATTCATCGTCATTTATTAGAATATACAACTGAAAAATATACATCACAACCACAATATTATAATTTAACAATGAATCAAACAAATAATACAGATCAATATGAAATGGAATATCATATTTTATGTGTGGTTAATTATTCCACGTCCCTTCAACATTATAATACAGCTATTCTATTTTTTCATCTTGTTACTCCATTTCTTGCTAATCTTATTTCTGCTTTTTATATTATTTTTGGTACTGCAAGACAAAAATCAATAACTCGAACTAAACAAACTTATACAAGACATATTATTGAACAATTTAATGAACATAAACAATTAATAATTAGTCCTCTTATTTTACTTCTACTTTCAATGCCTCGATTAATTATTTCATTAATATCTGGATGTGTCGATGTTTCTAATAATCCATGGTTATATCTTTCTGGTTATTTTATTTCATTTACTCCATCAATGCTTATTTTTATTGTTTTTGTTTTTCCTTCAAAATTATATATGAAAATATTTAGAGAATCATTTCAAAGATGGACACGATCGACTTATTCATAAAATATTTATTTATTTATTTATTTATTTATAATTTCTTTAAATTAAAGTGTTACATGCTCCGTAAATTTTTATTTTTCTAAATGAGAAATATGACATCTACATATCATATTCGATGTTTGTAAATTCTACTAGTGATAGATGATAAACCAATAAATTTTCTTTTTGTTCTGTCTATGTTAAAGAATAAGAGTATGAGATAGAGTCTAAACGATTTAAATATTATTGTATATGAAATTAATGTCTCGTTAGTATGATAATATTACTTGTTTTTATTCTTTTGTTAACGACTTTTTTTCTTGTGTGTTGCTATATTCATAATCATTTGTCTTATTTTGTGCGTCGTTCAATTCCTAGTCCTCCTGTTTCTTCATTAATTTATGGTCATTTATCGCAACTTTGGTCTGCGGATTCCTATTCTAAACAACTTCGTAAATGGTCTTTACAATATGGTTCTATTTATGGACTTTTCGAAGGTTTTCGTCCTGTATATGTCGTTTCTGATTTAGAATTTATCCAAGAAGTGTTTATTTCTCAATTTACTCGTTTTTGTGCACGACGAATGCTTTTTATACATCGTATGTTAGGTGATCGGCAACTAAATGTTTTTGGTGCACGTTCTATTGAACAATGGACAAGACAACGAAGAATACTTAATCCAACATATAGTATATCAAAGATGAAACAATTGTTACCAACACTTGAATCTTGCACAGATATATTTATTGAGAAATTAACATCAACAATATCTAATGAAATAATTAATATTCAAGAATTCTATCTACGTCTATCGATGGATATTATTTGTAATTAGATAAATTTAATTTGATTCTTCACGATATTTTTTTTTCTCTTAATTAGGCCGTACTGCCTTTGGTATTAAAACCGATGTACAAAATGATCTGAATGATACAAATATCTATTTGAAAAAAATGAAAGAAATGTCTGATAATGATTTAGAATATACATTTCTAGGAAAAATTCATCGAATCATATCGACTACACAATTAGCTAATATATGTACATATTTATTCCGTTTTAAACAATGGATAAATTGGGGAACACCAACAGATGTTTGGTTTTCTGAACATATTCATCAATTAGTTCAACCACGTTTTAAACAAATAAATCAAGAACATACTCTTGATCTACTTCAATTGATGATTGATGCTGTTCATTCAGAGAAAGAAGTTAGTCCTAGAAATTATCTGAGACTTTCAATTAATAAAAAAATATTTTATTTAGGGAAAATTAACCCCATCTGAAATGTTTAGTAATGCATCTGTTTTCCTAACAGCAGGAGCAGAAACAACATCAATATCACTTGCATATTGTACATATCGTCTTGCGAGACATTCGACTATTCAAGAGGAAATCTATAATGAAATAAGTCAATATTGATTGCCTAATATTGATTATTATGATTTAGTTATGAACAAATTGACTAAATTAGATAATTTTATTCGAGAAGTTTTTCGTATGCATCCCATTGCAATTCAAGTTCTTAATCGAGAATGTATGGAAAATACACGTATTGGTCAATATAATATTGAAAAAGGTAAATTAAATCTTATATTAATGTTGTTGAATATCTTCATTTATTATAGGTTCATTAATTCAAGTAGATCTTCACTCAATTAATTTCAATCAAGATTTGTGGGGTTTTCAATCAGTAGATGAATTTCATCCAGAACGTCACTTAGACAAAAGACATCCACTTGCAAATATGGGATTTGGTGCTGGACCACGTCAATGTATTGGAATGAGATTTGCTCTTAGTGAGTTTTATTCTTCTTTATATTCATATTTTTATTATTATTATTATATTTTAGTGGAAATTAAATCGTGTCTGACTCGATTAATCAAAGAATACAATATTAAACCAACAGGAGAAGAACCATATAAACTCAATATACATGAAAAATTTCTTATTATGCCTGAAAAAGTTTGTGTCAGACTTGTAAAACGTTCTTAATCATCATTACTCTCTCTTTAAATATTTATTTCAATAGAAACTAATTCATGTTTTATTAATATTGATTATACTTAAAACAAAAACATATCACTATCGAAAAGTAAATGTCAAAGATTAGTCTCATATAAACTTTCATTGTCGAACAATCGTTTTTGCTATTTCTACGCAAAAAAATTATTTTAGTTGTGGATTTTATGAATGAGAATAAATAAAATGTGCATGCAAGATATAATGAAAAAAGTGAATTAAAATTTATATATTTTTAACCAGATTGACTTCGAGCTTTTGCTTTGAATCGTTTAAATACCATTTGAACATCTGGAATTCTCGTTGACCATAGACCTGGTAGAAAATTCGCATTAATAAGTCCACATAATTCCCATCCTTCCTGACCATATTTATTTAGTTCACCTTCATTTATTGGTGATGAATCTTTTCCTGTCCTTTCAATAATACCATAGAGTTGTCGTGTAACAATACGATATTCATATTCACGTTGTACTATTTCTTTACCAGTAACTAATTTTGACTCTTAAATAAAGAGAAAAAACTAAATTGTTTTATTTTTTTTATTAATTTTGTTAATATGATCTTACCAAATATTTTTGTAGAAAACATAAGAAATATAATATAAATCAAATGAATTTTCATGTTTTTTATCGATCGTCGATTCTTAGTCAATGAATAAATAGTTGATATAAAACTAAAACTGATAGAATATCAACATTATTTTCTTATTCCTTGTCATATCTGTCATCATTGACTTAAAAACAATACGACATTTTTATCTGTTATCGACGATGAAAAGTAATAGAAGATGTTTTGTCATCAAATACTCTTAGATATCTATAAACAGTTGACACGTTATCAGAAAAAAATCTATTGAAATTCTTCATATTTTTTCCTTCTATTCATATTTCATCAGTTGAATAATGCTTCTCTTTTGTATATAACATCTGAATTTCTTTGTCAAACATCATAAACGATTGATTATTAGAAGTAAAAATCTCATTTTATTGATTGTCATCATTATTGACAATAGAGACGTGTAAGAGAAAAGAACTTAAATCTGGTATATGATTTATGATTTATTATTTTCATTTAGTTGCTTGAATATAATCCTGATTATTATTTGTATTAATTGATAAAATTTGAATATTTTCATAAAAGTTCTTCGTTATTTGTTCAAATTCATTGAACTTAATGTTGTTCAATTTCAATGTAATATGTTTTAAATGAGGTATAATAATTGATTTTATTTCTTTTCTTATTTATGGTATAAGTTTATTAATTGATACATAACAAATTTGAGGCAAGTACGAAAATAAGATAATTAATAAATTTGTTGGAAAATCAGCATTAATACCTAGGTCGAACATTACGGCCACTGGATCTTTCAGGAACGCATCGGTAATCAGCGAATCCCACAGAAAATTTTCTAGATTTTTTTCCGGTGTATTGTACCCATTTGCTTATGCTTTCCTACAGGAACCGATGGAAAATCATCGAAACAAATTCGAAAAATTTCCTGTGGAAATACTGCTTCCGTATTTCGACGATTTACAGTGTCTTCTCTTTGCGGAACGCGTCCGTAGTTTTTGATATGGGTAATTAATTGTTATAATGGACTATAGATTGTTGCATATATAATCAAGTAATTTGTATTTGTTTTGATTAGGATTGTTTTATACTCAAAGTTGACAAAATGTTAATTTTGAATATATGTTGAATTAATATCATAAATACGTAGTATTTCAATTTTACTAAATTTTGAAACACCATATGATGATAAAAAAAATGTACGAGCTATAGATGAGTTTGATACATGAATAAGATTGATTCGATGTTTGTTAGGAAGAAGAAAATTTTTATAACAAAGTTCAACATTTGGTATTGATAAATTTGTTATAATAATTTGAATTTGAATGGATGAATCAATTAATAAATCTTGAAATCTTTGATTAACAGGGTGTGGGTGGGTGTGGATTGAAAATAAAGATCATCACACTTAGTCTGTATCCAAAATTCAAAGCTTCTTCATTATAAATTCTAAACAATAAAAAAATGAAAAGTTTTGTTACATGTATATATAATTTTACATCCATGTTGAATTTTCTTGTTTAAAATAACAATTTAGATCTATTGTTGAGGGTGTGGGGTGGATGTGGGTGTGATCGTGAATGTTGGTTAAAGGCAGATATATCGCACACACTCTTCTAATCGGTTCCAACAGATTTTCCTCACAGAAATCAGTTTTAATCATAATGAAAAAAAACGTGTTTTTCTTTGTTTTCTAACTATCGGCCAGACTTCTCGACCTTGTTTTCAGAATCTTTACATCGACAAATAGTAAGTACAATGGTAGAGTAACCTGTGATACTCTTATCATATTTCCACGTACGACCTAGCTTGATATTCACTCACTTATGCAAAAATATTCATGACCGAGATTAAAATCAATGAGTAGATAGAAATTGGATGAAAATAAGGTTTTTCACGTTTTTTTTGCATGAGTTAATGATCACAATAATCATAGAGTACAAAGTTTCAATCTTGTTGTTGAACGACTTTTACTATATTTTCATATAATTAATAATATACATAACTCAAATGCTTTTCATTTAAACATTCTTTCTGTTTTCGTCTATTAAAAAGCTCGAGGGTGTAAGTGTTGATGAAGAAGAGAACAACACACACCCTCTATTACAAATTCAGCTTGATCCCATTAGATATAAAAAATAAATAGTTGAGGAGTACATCATCAAATCTGAGCTTTGAATTATGATAATTTTTGTCTTTGCTATCCTATATATGATCTTATACAGAATTAGTCGAAAAAATTGAATTTAAAGAGGTTGTTAAAAAGAAAAAGTGAGATATATGGGTGTGGATAAGCCTGGAGAGCAGCCAAATCCCTCAAATTACTGAAAATACTAATACTATGAATCATCGTCGAGTTCGTTACAATATCTGTATCAACAAATAGAAAATCTAACATTTGAGAGAATTTAATATCATAAATGAATTCTCGTCTTTGACATAATTCCTCTTATTTTCAGTACATGTCAAAAGGATAAAACGCATTTAGAATTATTTTTACGACGTTTTTTTCATTAGATTTTAAATATAAATACATACCTATTAGTAAAACATTGTTTTTGTTTATAAAAATGTTGTCAAAACAAGAGATTATATAACATGTCTTACATATTTTCTCAATTATTGTAATCCTTAAATCTTGATGTATAAAATCTTTTGAATAACGATGCTTTTTTTATCTTTTTAATTAACAAGATAATATGAAAGATTAAAATATAATTGATATCTCAACAATATTCAGTTTAAAAGAAGTGAAGCAAGTATCATATAATTTTCCATTTCCTAACAAAAAAATTCTTGTAAGAGTAATTGAGTGAAAATGAATAATAATTTTGCACATGCTCATGGTACAGTTATGATATCGGCTTGGATGATTTTTGGTTCAACAGGTGTTTTATTTGCACGTTATGGTCGTGTATTACGTGTTGGAAATCAACGACAATTTCTTGGTAAATCAATTTGGTTTCAAACACATCGATTTCTTTTATCATTATCGTCATTATTAATATTATTGGGTTTTTTCTTAATTATAATTTATAGACGTGGTCAATGGGTTAGTGTAGCAATAAATGGTCCACTATTATTTACTCATTCAATTGTTGGTAGTATTATTGTATGTTGTATTATATTACAAATCTGGTTAGCACTTTATCGTTGTAATCCCCATAGTCCTTTTCGTTTTATATTCAATTGGACTCATCGAATAACTGGTTCATTAGCTTTTGGTTTCTCATTTATTAATTTGTTTCTTATTACATTTGTATTAAAACAACAACATATTGCTTTATTGATTATCGTTTCATTGTGGACAAGTTGGATGATTATTATTGTTATTTTCTTTGAATTAATTCAATATCAATATCGGAAAGTATCAGCATTAATGGCACGTAATGCTCGTGTAAGTTATACTAATCAAGAAGGTGTCAACGCAAATGTTCAACCAGATACAGAAGCAGGTACAAATCCAACTATCGAAAATCAACGTCTTAACAAAGTCAAATTATTTTTATTTCTTATTCATATAATAATTAGTATTGTATTATCTATTCCTCTCATTATTATTATCTGGAATCAGAGTTAATTAATTCATCTTACTTATAAACACATACATTACTTCGTCATAACCATACAATGACTTTATAATTATAATAAAGACTTTAGCTCTACAATAAAAAAAATTTTCTTTAAATAAAATTTTTTTGTTGATTCTATAATAATCATTAGATTGATGTAAAAGACACATAAAATTTAGTTCTTTTAATTTCCTACAAGAACAAGAGATATTATCTGATTTTTAATATGAAACAATAATTATGTGGCTTAGTTGAATTCGACTGAAATGATTTTATATTTTTCTATTATATAGATAAAAATAAATAAATAATAATTATTCCAGTAAGATAATCTAATGCTACTCATAAAAATGTTTTTTAAGCACTTCATTGAAAACAACAAAGAAGAATTGCATCGATGATTATGTTATTAATTTAATTTTTGTAATAGATGTATTTCATCAATTTCATATTGTAGTGTTCAATGTAATAATTATTTATTAGAAGTAATATGAAGATTATATTTTATTGTTTTTCATCTACTAAATATCGATGGTTAACTTCATTTAAAATCCATAAGGTATTGAATTATTTTATTCTATTTCTTAGCAAAACATATATAGAATTACTTGAATAAAGTCAAAGAACTATTCGAGAGTGTGTGTTATGGATTGCTTTGCTATATTTCGACTCAGTATAATAGCTTCATCGATAATATCTATTTATATAATTTCGAAATTTGTTTTGTTAATATTCAAGTAGGTATTAGATTTGACCGCGATCATTTCTTTCATTTCATTTAGTTGATATACATTTATAGATACAATAAGATATGTTCAAACTCTTCAAAAATTAGAAAATCAACCCTCAATCAAAAACACGATCAAACTGTTGTTTCTATCTTTACGTCCCATGGTATAAACATATAGAAATACGAGAAAGAAACGATTAATATATTATCAACTCATCTCATTAGCATTTTAATAGTTGTTACAAAATTAATTGCTAACCTGTCTATCTAAGATAGTATGAGTACAATGCCTATATCTATGATATTTGGAAATCATTTTCATTTACTATTGGATGTATTATCATAGAGAAAATAAATTCATCTTTTTAATAGTCAAGAAAAATATTTTATATTGCAATGAGATGATATTTGATGATTCTCTCGATTTCTTCATATATGTGATCTACTATGATTTCAGTCAAGTGGTGTTGTTGACACTATTCATTGAAAACATTATTAATGATAAGAAACCTGAAAACTAGGATACCATAGAGAATGAATCGATAGTGATACACTCGAGAGAAAATGCACTTTTACATGGTGATATTTTCTCAGTAATTTTCTAGAGAGATTAGTTTTTTTCGAAGAAGAAAAAGAAAGGTTATTTCTGATTATTGAAATTGTATACGATGAATACAAGTAACATTACAAATTCTACATGGATAGAATGTGATTTGGAAGATGATCTAGGTTATGATCTTATTCCAATGTATCGTATATTATTTATTTTAAGTTGTATTACTGTTCCATTAGGAATATTATTCAATATTATATTTATTATTACTTTAATTTGTCTTTCAAAGAAAATCTCAAACGTGAATATGCACGCCCTTTTATTAAGTTGTATAGCTCAAATTCCACTTTCTCTTATTCAAGGACCAATTCGACTTTATTTCTATTATCATCATGGATGTTCACCATTAGCAGGTACTCCATTATGTCAATTAACAGTTTATCTTGATTATATTCCAACACAAATCAATAATTTTCTTGTTGTTCAACTATCATTTGAACGTTTACTTCTTGTTGTAAAACCATTTATATTTCATCGAGCTCGTCATCAAACATTTTCCTATGCAATATGTCTCCATTATATTGGTCTTTTCATAGCTATTGCATTTCCTTGTCTTTATTATCCAATTATTATGCAAAATGGCGCATCAACAATTAATCTTGATGATCCATCAACAACCCAAACATGTGATCTATGGTATTCGAGAGATATTTATGAGTTATTTGATTTATTGATAACATTTGTTCCATATGCTCTCATATTAATTTCTTGCCTATCTGTTATTAGTGTTATTTTCTATCGAAAATATATTTTGAATAATGGACAAAGAAGAAAGGTCGGTTCACGAAATCAACGTCGTGTTCTTTTTTCTCTTCATATCTTTCTTTTATGGTTTATTTTAACATGGTCACCTTGGGTTTTCTATGATTTCTTTCAAATTATTTTAAATCTAACATATTCTGTTTATATTGATGCAATTACAACATTTATTGTCTATTTAAACTATACTTTAAGTTCAACAATTGTTTTAATAACATTCAAAGATATGCGTCAGTTCTGGTTTGTTAAACTTGGTTTTGGACAATCTATTTCTTCACCAGTAAATCATATTGAACTCGCTCAAACAGCTAATCAACTCGTTCACCATGTGAAAAGAAAACATCGTAGAATTCATGTCTTATAATCGAGAAAAAGACAATGAACTTTAAAACGTTAAATTATTTTAGATATTGTCGTGTCGTTAGATAAATAAATGTTCTGAATATGAACTTAAAAAATATGCAAACGTTAATCTTGTTTTTTCTCATCTGTCTTTTGATTGATATGATTAAAAAGATGAAGTCATATATAGAAAAACACATCATAATAACACTAGCATGATTATATATCGAATCCTTATAGATATCATTTGGATTGACTTAATATTCATACTCACATCTACAACATTTATTTAAGAAGTAATTACGCATACATTTATAAACAATAAAGCAACAAAAAGAAATAATAATATGCGAGTAATCCATATACGCTGATATCCTAGCGAATGATGAGATTTCATCATGTGTACTTTGAGTTTCGATTCATAAATGGATGGGTAGGCGATGACAATAATTATTGATAAATATGTAGTAAGAGATATTTTCTGTCATTTGTCTATACAACAGTTTTCAAGATCGTTGGTTGTTGTTGTTGAAGAAGGCGAACATTATTTCTACCTTTGACCATTGTTGTAGTTTTCATGTTAACAGTGACTCGATTTTCATTGAGTAGTGCTTGTTGAGTTCTCAATGGAAGACATCGAATTAAACCAGTGATTGTTAGAAACTTTTTAAACCCGTATTGAATACAACGTTTGCATTCAACACGAAATCTAGGACCAGTT